CATCAGCAGCAGCAGCGGCAGCAGCAGCACTAGCACATCAGCAGTGTACTATATGATACTACACCATACTAAGCTATACTATACTGCCGTACAGTGTACAGTACTACTTTTGCCCAGCAATCCCAAACTCAAGCCCTCAAGCTCCCCTCTTCCCGCTAAGGTAATTCTATGCTATACTATACCATGCTATATTTTGTGTGTCTATTTTAGGAGTCTACTATACGTGGTGGTGGTGGTGGTGGTGGTGGTGGTGGTGGTGGTGGTGGTGGTGGTGGTGATGGTAGTAGTAGTAGTAGTAGTAGTAGTAGCGTTGTAGTAATAATAGTATGTATACAGTATCTAATATAAGAATAATTGTGGTTGTTGCAGTTGTTGTTGGGGCTGCGGCTGCGACTGCGGCGGCTGTTGCTGCTGCTGCTGCTGCTGCTGCTGCTGCTGCAACTTGCATTGTTTCTAGAAGCGGAAGATTAAGGCGAGTTCTGCCAATTTACCCCCCCCCCTCCCCCCAACACGGCTATTCATATTTGTTGGGCTACATAGGTCAACTATATACTGCATGATGAAGGCCTATATGATGATTGTCCCCCAAAATTAGCAACCCAAAACTCGTCGCCCAACCCCTAACTATCCTAAGCCCTATATTGAATCCAATCCTCAACCCTGGCCAGAACAGGAAGATGCTAAAATGCATGACTTGGAGGGCCCAAAATGATCATACTTATAACCCATGGACGTGGGGGGCATATTGGGTTACTATTATAAGTACCCCGGACCTCCAAGTATATGCAAGTGTGCCAAGTGCCGAAACCAAATTTGAAAGGGACTCTGTACACTGAGCTGATACACATCAACACTTAATTGATAATCCCAGCAGCCATCAATCCCTGTCGAAGCTGGGGAAATGTCACGCAAAGGCTTCGGGGTTGGTAAGGAAGGCAAGGAGGGCTTGGGTCTGGAGGTTGCAAAAAACGTAATTGGCGGAGACATTAGCCTTTTGGAAGGCTTGGGTGCAGGGCTTGTGCTAGATGAGGCAGCCTCATCTTCGGGCTCCGGCATGTAGGGATTCTTGTCCCCTGGTAGATCCATCTTCTCATCCTCTAGGGCCTGTATGGGGCGATGCTATATGGGTTATATATCATAGTACCCTGTCTATGATGCAATGGCTTACAAATGAACTCCTAAGTTAGGCAAAGGTTCCTTGGGGCATGTAGCATCCATATCAAGCTCAGGATCGGATTCTGTAGACGAACTCTCCGAGCCCTCACCATCAGAAGAGCTTGTGCTCCCAGATTCATATCCAGTATCGGTACCTTAATTGGACCCTAGAAGCTAGACTGTGTACAGGTCAAATTCAAGACTCAATGCTTTAACATACATGGGCCTCCTCTAATTGCAACCCTGTGACTCAAACCAATCTCCTTCATCATGTCCCTGAACTCTGGATCTCTCGGCTTGTGAGGTCTCTTTGCCGCGCGGCTAAATATGGAGATGAGCCTACGAACGACCCATGCTTGCGTCTTGATGCAATTACCTGGGTCGCAGGTCGAAGCTTGGTTGAACATAATCACAGGAACACTTTAGAAAAGGGGCCGTCAGGCACGTTGAGATGCACTGGGCGCAGGCCAACATGCAGCCTGTGAAGATATTGGGCCACAAGATCCACAGAAGGTCTCAATCCTAGGTTGAGATGGCTTTAGCAAAAAATTCGGGCACACGTGATTTCAAGGCTGAAGCTCGAACATGTAAGCCCAACTCATGCAGCCTAGATACCGACCAAGTTCATGAGGGGCACAATAAGGTCCCGGTTGGCAACCACAACATTCCTGCTAAGCTTCCCCCCAGGCGTCTTGATAATTAGCTGCTTGTCAGCCAATCTCTTGAGGATCACGGAACTCTTGGCCCACGAGGCCATAACAGGGCACTCAAAGGAGCTTCCCCCATCCGAGCTCATTGCGGCAAAGCACAAGTCAGACCTCACCGATCTTAAGATCATATTCGCGCACTATGCACGATCAATTTCCAAACAAACCTTCGAAGATGATGCACTGTAATGGACTAGCATTCAGCAAATCGTGGCATGCGCCACACATTACGACTGAGCCAGGGTCTGCATGCAATCAGGTGTACTTTCCGGATGCAGCACAATACAACCCCCCCAGCATGAGATCGATCAGTTAAACAAGCCAGTGAGGCTGTGAGGTCCACAATCACACCAGCTTGCATCCATGCCGGCATGCTGAGTGCCATCTAAGGAGATGACATCGGCTATGACTTCGATGCACAAACACACAGCCCTCCCAAGATGTCAACCCCAAGACCACACAATATATTGATCATAATGGATTGGTCTAGCACACAATCAGCCAGAACGGCTATGGATATGGTAGGCATGAGCTGAATCTCCAAAAGCGCACGAATAATTCTGAAAGTGCCCGAGCAAATGTCCATTTTGTGCCAAAAGGAGATAAGTGTATCAAAACCCCTTTGGGCAGAATTAAGTGTTACAAACGATGGTTCAGGTGAACAGCAACCCAGAATCATGTTCCCCTGCAAACAGCCTCCTACCTGGACCTGCAACGTAGGTAAAAACATGGCCTTAGCCCTGAAGGCAACGCCAAGACAAGAGCCCAGGGTCAGCGCCACTTCGAAGATAGTCTGTGCCAGGGAGAAACAACATAGTGAAGGGCTCGGGATTCAGGGTTATAAACTTTTCCGAAAACAAAAAGGATACTACGGTTGGGTTGCGTGGTGCCTATCCTCAACGCTGGCCGCGCTTACAACTACCTGTTTGGAATCGCAACCGACAGCCTATATAACCCCAATATACTACCTGTTTACGACCATTTACGGGGAGTGGTTACACTAGGGAACCTGGAGGAACCTGAGGGAGCCGCAAGGAACAACAGGGAGCATTGAAAAAACTCTCTCTTCGTGGGATGTAGGATTTAGCTCTCAATGTGAGCTACTGTCTAAACTCCTAGTATCCCCCTTAATAAGCCCTATAGTAGTTCCCAGTCTAATTCCCTATATAACCCCTTTTAAGGAGTTTAGACTATGGCTCAATGTGGGTCTAGGCCCACGGCCTCGGCAAAATCTGTTCAGCAGCATTTGTACCTGGAGGATCATCGGACGAGGCAAGCACCTCAACGCCGCATAAGATCCCTTGGAGAACCCCAATATAAGCCCAAAAATAACCCGAATGAAACCCCAACATAACCCTAATATTAGGGCACCCTAATCTTAAGTGGGTTGTGAGCCCAATTATGTGTACAAGAAAGTTTTTCCAAGTCTCATGAACCTCCGAGTGCTTGAAGCCAAGACCCCTGGCCAGAATCTCAAACCTTCGCCGAACAAACTCCAACCTCCCCAAACCGCAAACAGATGGTTCAGGGTTTAGGTTTTTTTTTGCTACAGCCGTGCGCGCTGCATGCGTGCCCGCGTTGGCGCAGCTCCAACAGGAATTCTCAGAGCTCTTAGGATGGAAGTAGATACCGGGCTCGGTCATACGATTCCACTACCAGGGTTGTGGTCCCAATGGGTTTTGAAGTGTCTTTAAACCCTAAACCCTAAACCCTAAACCCTAAACCCTAAACTTCAATGCAGTATGGAACTTTGCCCCCTCTACGCCTTCCCATTGCCTGAAGCCTGTCTTTGTAACCAGGACTAAAGACTACGTGGTGGAAAGGGTCTGTTGAGGGGCTGAGGAATACCCGTCGCAGGGTTTAGGGTTTAGGGTTTAGCCCACAATCCTTGGAGCCTTAGGGCTGCAGGGTACAAACCTAAACCCTCTAAACCCTAAGCGCTCAACCCTAAACCTTCCAAGCCCTAAGCCCTCAACCCTAAGCCCTCCAAACCGTAAACCCTGAAACGCAAAGCCTTCAATTCTGACACCCAAGCATTTCTTTACAAATAAGGCCTCCTCAGCAGGTTCGATGCCCTGTAGAAGACCATATCCGGGATACTCCACGGCAATGACGTTTACCTGTTGTAGGAAACAGTCCTCATTAAGGTTCCCCCAAAAAGTGGTTCCTGCTTTGGCCTATAAAGAATGAATATCAATGAGTATGATACCATTTCGAGCGGCATGTTTCCAGGTGGACCCTTGGTTGACATGTCAACATTGCAGATGTTGAGCTCTAGGCTTACGACTTCAAGAGGCTGCAGGCCTACGCATTGAACGATTAGACTACATGGGCGGTTTTAGAATTTCAGGCCCTTTGAATAAAGCGGCCTATGAGAAGGTGAGCACAATGCCATATAAAGATGTTTATCACTGGCATTCTCGCTGCGGGGGCTGGGCAGCGACAATAAAGTCAAGTTGAAGCTTCCATGACGACAAGGCTACCTGCTGAGCGTTCAACAATCTTAAACACCCAGCAACATGGCTTCTCCAAAAGGGAGAGGAAGATCAGTTGATGCTGATGTAGGGGTCACTGTCACTGGACAGTCTCGCATGGAAAGAACAGCCTTTAAACCCCGAACACCTAGTCAGAGACCATATGATATGGGTGCTTCAAGCGTCTTAGGGCTCCCGCTCCCTAACAGTTCTCTGGAAGAAGAATCTATCGCGTGGACACTTGCATAAATGTCCAATGTTTGAGCAATCATCCACTGACCTGTATATACAGGATTTTTTTCGGAGGAGCGCGCACTATAGCAGCCTTCATGACCAAAAATCTCAAGCATTCCCCAGTCAAAGCAGGACCTGGGGGCCTGCATGGTCTGTGAGCCGTCGGATTCTCAGCCAAACAAGGGAACCGAGGCCGTAGGATCAAGGGTTCAAAAGTTCGGGCCTAAGGGCATAGGCCCGCCAAAAACTAAGGTCAGAGATGTGGTTTGCGGCTGGCACCTGAAAAGGCCTCACAAATTCGAGGACGACTCCTGTATTGAAATGGGATCGCATAAAGCATTAAACTTTTGATCCCTAAACTTGAAAGCGGACCCCCCCTGAAGATAAGTCCCCTTGCACTATCCAAATGGTCGGACTGGTCGCTGTAATGTTGACTTCGCATTAGAAAACCCCCGCCCTCGATTCATGTATCTCCATTTCGGAGGCGGTCCCGCAATAATGATGTCACCAAAGTAGGCCTGAAAATCTATATCCAATCTGTTAAAATTTCAGCAAATTCATCGTTCCCTAAAATGAAATGTTCTCTGAACATTTTAGAAGTGTGGATAGCGCTATACATGTGCTCTTGCAGCGGATTTTATACTAATTGCTTGTAGAGCCACTAATGTGCAGTCAACATTATCTAGAACCTGTGTAGATGTGTAGCAACCAATGTAAGGTGAGCAGTAGTCATCATGGCAACAAGGAACACAATGATGGGAATCACCTCTACCGCCGACATCTAGGGGACCTCTTCCATAGAGCGAGATCTTTCAGGACTCTGCAAATAAATACGATGTTTACCGTACCCTGAAGCCCAAACCCTGAACCCCTACAAACCCTAAACCCAAAAGATACCACCTCGCCAGTGTCCAGGCCTTGAACTGATCTCGCATATGTTTGACGAAATGGAAGGCAGTGCCAATGTCCTCGGAATTCGCGTGAAAGTACCTCAGGCACGCAGTTTAGAGTTTGGGGTTCAGGACTTCTGCAGGACTCCAGATACGGGCACCCTTTACAAGAAGTAGGTACCGTCCGTCGGGAGATGCCGTGAAACGGCCTACTCCAGGAAGCTCAACGGAAAGATAAACCAATGACGCACCCCCTCTAAATACCCCCAGCGAATAAACTCTAACACCACAATTGCCACAATGGGGAGTATTCGTTCATGGGTCTGGAGGTGTTTTACACTGGCGGGGGGGGGGATGAGACTTCAACAGCACAGAAGAGGGAGGCTTCGAAAAGTTTCTGGGGCCTACGTAGAATTGAGTGGAGATGCTGGGTTGCTGACTCAAGTTCATAAAGTGTGGTTGCAGTTATGGGTCCGTGATGCAAGGTCTTGGATTGGGCAGGACACCTCTTGGACTGAGCCAGATTGAGTTTTCCGGCTTATTGAGCCTGTTTTTGTCCTTTCTCGGTGGGTGGCCTTTTTCAATTTGGCGCCAGGCGACACCCAACACCCAACCCCAAACCTGCGCCTTGACACCAACAGTATACAAAACTCGGAGAACGCAGCCCTCAAGTAACACCGCTTGCCAAACAATCTCATCCCACAACCAGCGGGGTCCAAGTTAGTTCATATTCTTTGAAGCTACATTGTTTCTACTACCCTTTCTACTCCTCCTCGTCATCCAGCTCCAGATACAGAAACCACCGACACCAATCATCGGGCTCTTCAACCCCAACCCCTTAACCCTGAACCAAACCAAAACTGTGTACTTGGACCCTTCCCAGACAACACACCCTAAAAATATCCTAGGCTCCATCATATGATTTAAGGCATGTTCCCTAGTTAAAGGCATTGGGCTTTCTCTGCCCTGAAACCGCACAAATTCTGAACTTTAAACCCAAATTCAAAACCCTCAACCCCCCCCAGGTGATTGATCAAAAGTCCTGGTCACAAAACGGACATTATGGAACAAAATCTCTATCTTCATCCCTCAAAACCTACGTCAGCCAAGCCCTCAAACCCCAAACCCCAAACAACCCTCAACAACCCTAAAACATAAATAGCTTCCCCGAACGACCGTTTAGATCAACCCCTCAGTCATGCTAGCTCCGCCAACCCTAAACCCTAAACCCCCAAGCCCTGCGAGCTGCGCCAAGGCACATCACCACCGAAGCCGCCTTCGGCGCTGGGAACCAGAGGCAAGGTACGCCTCCTGTCCGGCCTCACATTACACAACCCCTATATAACCACTATATTACCCTTAAGGGTCCAAGGACCCAAATGATAGGGCTTTAGTTAATTGTATAGTATCTGGGCCCTAAAACCCTATTATTCCCTCCGTGGACCCTTAGGCTTACCCCTATATAACCCTATATTACCTTATAAAAACCTATATACCCTTATGTAATCCCAATAGACACTGCTTCAAAAGTAGAGTGGGTACAGGGGTTAGGGGTTTAGGGTTTAGGGAGAGCAGGGTTCAGGGTTTAGGGTTCAGGGGTTGGGGCTTAGGATTTAGGGAGTTTAGGGGTTCATGGCCAGGGAGTGGCTGCAGGTGTAGGTATTGGGAACCCCATGGGCCGAGACGAGCACCATAAAACCTTAGAAGGGACTTCCCATTAGGGTTTCTGATGGTTTATGGGAGACCGGGGGAGTGGATTCCTGCAACCATTTTCGTAGAATGCCACACACACAGACACCAATTGACCTATATGAATTTCATAACCTGCATATAAACCTCCAGGCCAACACTTATATTCCCTTTGCTTGCAATCCTTAGCCTACCACCGATATTCACTCCTCCTGTGGCCTAAAACCTGAAACCCCTAACGCCTTAACTCTCAACCCCTAAGGCCTAAACCCAAAACTTCTTAGAGCCTGAACCCCAAATCCCCCAAGCCCTCAAGCCTAAACCCCCTGCACCTATAATATAACCCCAAACCCCTAAACCACCTAAACCCTGAACCCCTAAACCACCCTAAACCCTGAACCCTGAACCCCCCTAAACCCTGAACTCTAAACACTAAAGTCTAATCCCTAAACTGTTTAGGGGTTTCCCATAATTAGGAGTACCATTTTAGGGGTTCCCATAAAAAGGACTATAGTATTTGGGGGTCTATATTGGGTTCCCCCTATGTAGAGAAACTACCATTTGGGGTCGTGAAAGGTTTGGGAACCAGGCCTGGCGAAATCATCGGGTTCCATGGGATGGTACCTCAGTAGGCAACACAAGATTACTACTAAAACTTCAGGGGTTAGAGCTTTAGGGTTTAGGGTTTAGGATTTAGGGTTTAGGGTTTAGGGGGTTACTACATGGCACTTAGGACCCCTACTGGGGGGTAACCCTTAGGTACCTATAATAGGAATATGAGGGAATCCCAAAGGGTTAAGGGTCTAAGGTCCAAGCTAAGTCCCAAGGAGGTTAACACGAAAACTTTAGGGGTTAGAGCTTTAGGGTCGAAGGTTAGGGGCTTGGTATTTAGGGTTGAGGATTTGGGGTTTAGGGTTTCGGGTTTAGGGTTTGGCAGCCCAAGGTTGATACCAAAACTTTAAGGTCTTAGGGTCTAGGATGTAGAGTTTGGGATTTAAGATCTTGGATGGAGGGTTTAAGGATCTAGGGCTTGGGGTTTAGGATTTCGGGCTTCGTTGTAGAGTCTAGGAATTCAGATTTAGGGTTTAGGAGCCAACGCACCTAAACCTTCCAAGGACATCAGTTTTGGCTGTGTACAGCGGGCTTACAAATCATGCCCAGGACATCCCTGGATATAGGGATGAGGGAAAAGCAGCACACTATGTAGGTAATTGGGTTTCTACAACGAATTCTGCTCAGCAGTCATCCTTAGTTTCTCTCTCTCTCGCTCTCTCTCTCTCTCTCTCTCCTCCACGCCCCCCCTTACCATAAATATGCCCTCCATTCTGATCCCCTCGAATTCCCCTAGCAATGAACGTGTCCCTCCCAACCCACATGAAAACCACCTGTGGTTTCATTAGTGTGGTTTATTGCAAAGAGTTAGAGCGGATCTAACGAAAGTTAATTGGCTTGGGAGTAGAGTCAAATCGATCTAACCAAGTGAAATCTAATTCAAAACGATGAAATCGTAATAGAATCAGGAACTTTTCAAAAGCTAAAATCAATTCAACTCAACATAGAATCAACCGAATATAGCTACATATCTTTGTTAAAACCAACTGAAATCTAATTCAAATTCAACCAAAGAACATGTAAAATCGTTAGACAATTGGGAAAGCCTGGAACATGCGTGCTCTTCAATACCCACTCGAAATTTGGTGTTTAGCTCCTGTAACCTGTGAGTAGGAACCCGTGAACCCCCAAACTGTTAAAGTGCCCAGGTCGTAGAACCACCGGGTTTAGGGTTTAGTAGGGTTGACGACCACCATGGGCAAATCAAACCCGAAAACCGAACATTTCCTAAGGCCCCAAGTACCTAGGTCCCTCTGTAGATACTTGGGGCCCAAGATACCATTTGAGTATTTGGACCCTTTGATTTTTGCCAAGGAGCAGAGGTTCCTCGGGAAGGATGTCTTGCTATAGGAAGCCCTTGGCGCCTTCCAAAAGAATACAAGGGATTTCGGATAGCTTTGGGGTCCGGGGATTAGGGTCCAGGTTGCTGGCTTTTACAGGGTTTAGGCTTTAGCATTTAGGGGGCTTTCATAATTGTAGGGTGTAGTCTATTGGGAGCTGACGTTTTAGACTTGCGAGTTTCGATTCACCATTGCCTTGGAGCTTTGGAAAATCATGGGGGCAGGCCGTTCTTGAGCTGCATGCGTCCTTTTTTATTTGATATCATTTATCTGTGCCCTGGTATACCCGTAAATGTCCCCTTCGTTTGGACTTCGGAAGCTTGGCTTGAAGGCCTCTTCCTGTGAGAAGATGCCAGTCGCAACTTTCTGAATGTGCGGCCGCCTGCTTGACTTTCGACCCATGCTAGAAGCGAGCTCTAAGCTAACAGACCTAAACTAGGGTTTCCCAAAATTAAGGGTACGTTTTTGGGGGTCCCCATAATAAGGATCATAATTTATTGGGGTCTATATTGGGATCCCCTTAGCTAGGGAAACTACCAAACAGGGTTGGTGTTAAGGAACTTAACTTAAGTCACCATAACATGGGTATCTAGTAATTAAAAATAGTTGGGCCTCCTTATTGCAGTAACTTAGCTTAAGTTCCTTAACAACAGCCCAGTAAACCCCAAACCACCCAAAGCCCAAGGTCATGCTGAATCCCATCTGCACACCACGGAACGAAACTTTTACTGATCTTTAATGTATAAGCCAAGAAAATGCTGTGGTGCCTAAGCCCTTAACCCTAAACCCTGAATCCCTAAACCCTAAATCCCCAAACCCTAGGATCCTCGGTTCCCTTACCACCACCCCTACACTACTGCCCCAAGGTTCCCCCTTACTTAGCCTCAATTAGCCCGAATCATTCCTCAATGACCCCTCAAGGGAGAGCCCCAGGGAGGGGGTGCGTAAGTAAGGGAGATGGAATGGAAGCGAAAATGCCGGGGAAACTCCAACCAAACCAAGACGCGAACCCTGAACAATTTCCAAGTCCTAGTCTGAACCCCTAGACTCTCACCCTTAGGTCGGACCCCGGCGGTTGCGAGACCTTTAGGAACCCATGCATACACATGGGTAATCTATGGGTAATACATTGCGCTCAGTTGGGATGCGAGTTGGGGGCCAAAAGTGAACACGCATAAGGCTATGAGGGAATAATGAAATACTGAATAATACTGGTATGACCACTATGCCCCTCTGCCATCCGTACATATCCCTTCTCTAGATTCATTCCCCAGAATCCCGTTGCGATCCCTGTATGAGCTGCAGTCTAAACTCCTAGTATGCCCCTTAAGCACCCCTACATGATCCCCTTCAAGGCTGTTAGACTATAGCTCATCTTTCCCAGAAACCCTAAGCTTAAACCCT